GTTCGGGTTGGAGGGGACAAAGATGGGGCTGGTGGGGGAGCTGTGGGGTAGGAACAGGGGGGACTGGTGGGGGAGCGGTGGTAGGAACAGTGGGACGGGGAGCTGGTTAGGGCTGAGATGGGGCTGGGTTGGTAGGAACTGAGTGGGGAACGGGAAGATAGGAGCAGGGGGGACAAGGGGGGGCTGGTTCGGGTTGTGCGGGAGGAGAGCGGCCTGAGTACGGTACTGGGCGGTTCCCGCCCGGCTACACCCGCTTGGGGGCAGCCGCGGAGCCGGCCGGTCCCTCCCTCTGGCGGGCGGGGCGGCTCATGGCGGCGCCGGGCTGGCGGCGCCCTCGGGCCCGGCTGGCCGCGGCCCTGCGCTGCGTCCGAGCGGCGCGGAACTGGAAGCATCGGGCGCAGCGGCCGCCCCGCGCGGAGCCGGTCCAGGCGGCCCTCTACGTGCATGTGAGTGCGGGCCGGGGATGCCCGAGCCCGCGGGGGGCGGGCCACGTGCGCGCGCTCTATCGCGTGTGAGTGCGCGTGCCCGTGCCCCTGGCACACGTGTGCGCTCGCTCGGGTGCATGCCGTGCCCGTGCAGCGTGTGCCCGTGTGTGCGCCTCTGGCTGGTGCCCCGTAGGGCCGGGGGGGCTCCTATCCCCATGTGCGTGGCGGGATGTGTGTGGACGGGAGCTGAGGCACAGGGCAGGGGCGAGGGATAGCCCCTCACAATGAATGAATTCAAGGAGCCTTGTGAGTGACCAGTGTCATGCAGGCGGTCAGACTAGATCAGTGGTCCCCAACCTTTCTGTTGCAATAGCATATTCATGTTCCCAGAAGAGTGTGGCGGGCGCTGGACGACCAGCTGCCGAAATGCCGCCGAGAAGCAGCGTCACCGAGAAGCGTCGCCGCCAAAATGCCGCTGCTTCTCGGCGGCATTTCAGTGGCGACGCTTCTCGGCGTTGCCGCTTCTCGGCGGCATTTTGGCGGCTGGTTGTCCGGCGGCTGCGCTCCTCGGCGGCGGGTTGTCCAGCAGAAGCGCTCCCTTGTCAGTAGGCGGGCACACATAAATGCCCTGGCGGGCACCATGGCACCCACGGACACCGCGTTGGGGACCACTGGACTAGATGATCACAGTGGTCCCTTCTGGCCTTAGAGTCTATGAATCCTGCTCCCCGTGTCTCTTAGTGGCCGTACTGCCAGAAACGCTGCAGCTACTGCAACTTCAACAAGTACATCCCCCGGGGCCTAGACGAGGAGTCCATGAGGAGCTGTCTCACTCGGGAAGCCCAGACCCTGATCCGTCTCAGCCGGGTCCAGAGGTGGGTCCTGTGGCAAGAAAGGGGAGAGTGGCGGTTGGGGGAAGGGGAGGTAGTGTGGTTCCTTGTGGCTTTACACCAGAGCCCTAACAGCAACCAGGGAAAGGCATGTGAAAAGGTTGTGAAATCTGCCCTGGTATATTCCACAAAGGCTGCGCTGGCCCCTAGCTTTGAACCCGACGTGGAGCTGCTGGGGGGCTGGGCGTGGCTTCTTTGACACTGTTCCCCTTTCCTGCTGTGGCAGGAGCTGAAGCTGGGGCATTGCACTAGGGGTCCATTGAGGTACGAGGGTGGGGACGTCCTGCCTGAAAGCAGGTGTCCCCTGGGGCGTGGGAGGAGGATTCCTCCACTGCAGTGAGTCTGGAGGTCGCCTGCCCAGCAGCCCATTCACCCTGTGAGACTCCGGGCCTCTCTCCCCTCTGCTCGGCAGGATCAGCTCGGTGTTCTTCGGCGGGGGCACCCCGAGCCTGGCCAGCCCGTTCACCATCGCTACTGTCCTGGAGACCGTCTCCCGCTGCGCCCACTTGGCGGCGGACGCTGAGATCACTCTGGAAGCCAATCCCACCTCGGCAGGTGCCTCGCGGCTGGCGGGATTCCGGGCGTCGGGCGTCAATCGCCTCTCCATCGGCATTCAGGTGAGAGAGCAGGAGATTTCCTCCTTATCCCTCAGGCACGTTTCCCCTCCTGCCCCCCATGCTTCTCTCTCAGGGACACTCTCTACCTTCTCCCACAGGCTCCTGCTCTATCTCGCTCCCTCCTTCACTCTCTTTCTCCCTCTCGCTGTCTCCTCACGTGCCCTTCTCATCCCTCTCTGGGGCTTCCCTGTGCTCCCACCCCCAATCCTCTCTATACCAGGCAGCCTAAAGCACCTCGCCGATGGTCATTCTTGTTCTTTGCAGTCCCTGGACAATGCGGAGCTGAGGCTCCTTGGGAGGAACCACACAGCTGCTGAGGCTCTGGGGACCTTGGAAGAGGCAAAGAAGCTGTTTCCCGGCCGCACGTCCGTTGACCTCATCTTTGGCCTCCCCGGCCAGAGTGTTTCCTCGTGGGCCGGGGGGTTAGAAGAGCTGCTTCAGCTGTGTGATGACCATGTGTCTCTGTACCAGCTGACGCTGGAGAGGGGCACCTCCCTCTTCAAGCAGGTCCAGCAGGGCTCTCTGCCCATGCCCAAGCAGGAGGTGGTGGCGGAGATGTATGAATCTGCCCGGGAGATGCTGCGGGACGTGGGATTCCGGCAGTACGAGGTCTCCAATTTTGCCAGGAATGTGAGTCCCTCCCCTCGGCCTGTCCCTTTTGCGGTGTGTCCCGGATCTAAGGGGGGGGAGAAAAAACCCAAATAATTCAGAATTCAACTGGTGAGAGGATCTGAGCTCCCCAAGCAGGGGACATGTGCCGGGGTGAGATGTGGGGGAGCAGACGTGGGCCCGGGGGAACTCTCTCTGGATGTCGGGAGTGGGGACGAGTGTTGAGCATGCCCTCTGCTAGCAATGTGTGCTGAGATTCCCTCTCAGCAGGGAGCCGGGGTGGGCAAGGAAACTGGACTGTCTTCTCAGCCCAGGAGAGAGATGGGAAGCCAAGCACTGAAAGAGGAAGCCCTGCTTGCTCTGCACGCTGTGAGGAAGATAAACCCAGAACCTCATATGATGGGCCTGATCCTGCTAGGTGCTGAGCACCTGCGAGTCCCGTTGAGACCAATAGGGAGTCACCTTGCCGGAAGCCTTGAGCATCTTGCAGGAATGGGTCCAAAGAGATTCGATTCCTTTTCCTGGCTTACTGTGTGTTGTTTTCTCCTGCAGGGGGCGCTCAGTACCCACAACCTGTCCTATTGGCAAGGCAGCCAGTACATAGGGATCGGGCCAGGTGAGTTCCCTGGGAAAGTGAGAGGCACATGGGATCTCACCAGATGGGCCTGTGTACAGGGCTACAAAGCAGCCTCTCTGCTGGGGTCCAGTTGACCTCTACAAGGAGCTGCTGTGAGGAAGCTCATCCTCCCAGGGTTCTGTTGCAGGGCCCTGGGTGGTGACTGACCCTTGCAGGCACCACGTTACGCCCCCCAGCAGCCCCATGGCTCTGACCCAAGGGGCAGTGCTGCTCTGGGGGTGATGAACTCCAGCGGGGAAGGGATGCTGCAGAAATGCCTGTCTTTATTCTAGGAGCTCATGGGAGGTTTGTGCCGCGAGCACATGGCGAGAGCCTCCGGGAAGCCAGGATACAGACCCTGGAGCCGGACAGCTGGATGAAGGAGGTGCTGGCCTGCGGACACGGGACCCGGAAGCGGACTGTGCTGAGCCAGCTGGAGGTGTGAGTATTGGGGCAGGGCCAACAGTCAGCTCACCCCAGGTGGTGTCTGACGCCTCCTCCTCAGTATCTTGGTGCATGTGGCCTTTCCTGCAAGCTACTGAGATACAATAACCTGGGTGCGGGTCACTTGCCGGGACTGTCTGGGTATATCTCACCATCACTTCCCTGCCTTTGCGGGGCCTCAAGCATTGATGCACCTCGGTCCTGCCCGTTCTCTGCCTGTGGCACATATTGGGTCTCCTGTGGACTGTGAGACATTGGGCTAGTTTTGGTTGTTGGGTTTAGTGTGCGGCTGCTGGGTGCTGGTGGTGGCCTGTGACATGCAGGAGGTCAGGCTAAATGATCTGGTGCTCCCTTCTGGCCTTAAACTCTAAGATTCTAACCGAGCGGGAGCCCGATCCTGCCGTTCTCCTGCTGGCTAAAGTATGAAAGATGGTGGGAGCTTTGTCAGCAGAGCTGCAGTCTCCCTTGAAGGAGAACAATGTGGACAGCCGTTTCCCACCTGCACTCAGGTGCTCCCCTTTGCCTTCCTTGCACCTTCAGCCCCAGATGCAGGATGCCTTCTGGAGCCCTATAGAGACCCCGCAGCCCTCCAGCATCGCTCTTTGTGTTGTAGGTTGGAGGAGGTGTTGGTCCTCGGGCTCCGCACGGACATCGGAATCACACACCAGGTGAGAGCTGGCTCTCGGTTGTAGCAGCCTGCCCTGGGGGGGTTTGAACTCTCAGAGCATGGCGTTCGCAGCTGGCAGCAGACAGGGCCACCAAGAGGAACCATTTCCAAGGAGAGCTCTGGTCAAGTGCTGCGTGTGGACTGGCTCAGCAAGGAGTGGTCTGTTCTCCGTTGGGATTCTGAGCAGCTCTGGAACTCTCCCAGGGATTCCCTTAGTCTGAATTGCCAAGGTGTCACCCCCCTAGCCCAGTACTGCTGCTCTCGGCTGAAGGCCCCAAGGGGCAGATGTTTAAAGGTATTTAGGTGCCTACAGATGCAGATAGGCATTTGAAATCAAAGGGAGTTATGCACCTGGTAGCTTTTGAAAATCCCACTAAGTGCCTAAATGCCTTTGAAAGTTTGGCCCAAGGTCATCAAGTCCAAATGGTGAATTCAGTAATTCCACAAACCTTTACAGTCAGGATACAGGTCCCGGTCCCAGTCACATGCGGTAGGACAGGATTTGATTGTATGTGGCACCTTTGATATTGCAATCTCATGCTTGGATCACACACTGCTGGGCCCAGTATACAAAGTCCAGTAGAACCTCAGAGTTACGAACACCAGTTACGAACTGACCGGTCAACCACACACCGCATTTGGAACCGGAAGTATGCAACCAGGCAGCAGCAGGGACAAAAAACAGTACAGCACTGTGGTTAAACATAAACTACTAACAAAATAAGGGAAAGCAGCATTTTTCTTCCGGATAGTAAAGTGTCAAAGCTGTATTAAGTCAATGTTCAGTTGTAAACTTTTGAAAGAACAACCAGAACATTTTGTTCAGTTATGAACATTTCCGAGCTATGAACAACCTCCATTCCGGAGGGGTTCTTAAGTCTGAGGGTCGACTGGAAATGCAGTTTACAATAATAGTGCCGTGACTGTGAACCGTCGTGTGTTTAGCAGCTGCTCTCGCACGGTTGGATGATAGAAACTGTTCACTGGCCAGGACTCATGAGTTGTCCCTTTCTCTAGTCTTTGTCATGAAATATCCTGAGCTCTTGAACTCCCAGCAAAGACAGACAGACGGTATCTCTGTTTAACATCCCTCCCAAAAGGGCAGTGCATTCAATACTGCATCCCTACCACCAGGGAGTGCAGCATCTGCCCTGGCTAGGAGCCTGAGTCCCCGTGCGTGGGACTTGGCAGACAGGTTCTCCCACCCTTTAGCCCTGACGTCGAGGGGTGAGAGAGGAGTTCAGTTTCTACTGACCAGTCAGCCCTGGTCCGGTAGAGGCAGGTGTATTACCCACAGGGCCATGTGAACGGCTCCTTGGACTGCATGCCACAGCCAGAGATTTAAAGTGGCTGCTGTTCAGATTCCTTTTTTAATTTCCACCCATAGAAACTGCACCTGTACTTCGGGCACCCTCGCCTGGAGATGCAAATCTTGTCATTTACGCAGCTGAGCACCTGATTTCTCTCTGTGTGATCGTAGCTTTCACACGGCCCCCATCACTGCAGCATCAGGGACTGAACCATCTAAATGAAGGGTGCAAAGCCATGTGAGAGCCATTTTTGCAGGAGCAGAAAGGCAGGCAGCCCTGAGAAAGGCTAGTCCTCTCCGAGAGGCTCACACCCTTCCCTCTAGAGCTTTGTGTGGAATTTGTTATTAGGCAGGTGAAACGAACCCACAAAATAAAAGATCAAAGCCCCAATAAACTCTGTCAAGTCAGTATTTACGATGAGTCTCTCCCTCGCTTCCCTACCAGCACTGGGAGCAGTTTGCCACCAGCCTGAGCCTGTGGGACATGTTTGGAAGTTCAGAGGAAGTGAAAGAGCTAGAGGATCAGGGCTTGCTGCTTTTGGACAATAGGTAAGGGACGGACTGTGGCTGTGGGAAGGGCCCTGTTCTCTAAGGGGCGGGGTGATCCATGTCCTGCTTTTTTTCCAGGGGGCTCAGGTGTTCTTGGAAAGGTTTGGCGCTGCTGGACTCTCTCCTGCTGACCCTTCTCAACCAGCTCCAGCAGTCCTGGGCAGACAGAACAGCCCCTGGGACCTGAAGCTAGACAGCTGTCAACCAGGAAGCAGCAGCCTTTCCCAGCAAACTCCAGCAGTCCTGGATGGACAGGGCAGACCTGAAAATGGACAGATCTTGCATCCAATCTGGAAAGCATTTCAGAAGGGGAGGCCGATCCTAAGTCTCCAAAGGAACAACTTGGCTCTTGGCTGGAATCAGTTTGGAGCTCTCAGTTTGCAAAATCCAGGATGAGGGCCGGATCCAGGCTTGGAGTACATCGGTGGAATTTGCATCTGCTTATAGCAGAGAGGAAGCTGGTCTTTTTTTTTATGTGCACAATATTTGCTCAGTGGCTGCTGCAGAAAATAGGGTAAAAGCATTTTCGTTTTAGATTGACTGGAAAGATACATAATAGTGTGGGATTCAGTGACTTAAACTACTTCAGTGAGGAAAGTCAGTCTCTTCTCTGCAGCCAGCATGCGATACTATCTCCGTGCAGCAGATGGAGATGAGTGAAGCAAAAATACTGCAATGTCAAACCCCGTGGAAGGGCGAGCAGATCATTTCCTGCCCGAGGCGCTGGACTGAACTCCCCACGGTCAGCGCGGGCGACCAGGACCGGCTAGAGCTACCTCTCATTCTGGCCGAGTTTTCGGAATCCCTCCGTCTCGTGCCCACTAATAAAGCATGTGGGTGCGCCTTGCTCCCTGTCCCCCTGGCCTGGCTCTGTAGCTCTTTAGTAAGATGGACAGGTGAGCTAAGGGCTACCTTGCAAAGGCTGTTGGTTATTCTCTTTGCCTTTCCTTTGGACTCTGTAGAGTAGCTTGCTGGTCTCAGCAGCCGCCACTCAGTACAGAAGCAGGACACCCCAAGTCTAACTCTGTCTTTCCCTTACTGTCCTGGAGACCGGAGCCACAAGCAGAGGGGATATCACAGAGATACACATCCCCCAATGCCAGAGAGCTGGGAAGGTGCAGATTATGCAGCCAAGAATAATACATTATTGAGCTCCATTTTCTACCAGGTGCATTAGCGCCTGGGGTATCAATTTACTTCTGGAGGGAATTCAGTGCTGCCGTGACAGCGCTGGGGAATGAAGTGCTTTTTGCCCACTGACAGTTACAGCATAGGCACTGGCAGGCCAAGGCTCTCCTACCCCATCCCGCTAACACACCATAGCCCTGACTTCGTGCTAAGAGGAGAGTTTGTCTTCAGTGGCCCTTTCACCCCTTGGCCTCACTGCTGAATGGAACGAAGGTTTAGAGACTTGTCTTTAGACGGCAGTTCATATGACAGTAGCACCTAAAGGCCCCCCTCAGGATCAAGGCCCCATTGTGCCAGGTGCTGTACATACACATAATAAGAGACAGTGCCTGCCCTGAAGAGCTTACAGTCTAATCAGACCAGACAGACAAAAAGTGGGAGGGGAAACAGAGGTCACCCAGCAGGTCAGTGGCAGAGCCAAGAGTAGAACCTGAGTCTGCCGAGTCTTAGTCCAGTGCTCTATAGTCCAGGCTACAGGACAGTGTCCAGCCCAGACATCACTTCCCTTTTAAACCAAAACAAATGCAGATATTACTGCACAGAAACTTATGCTTCATTGTGATCCTTGCCTTCCCCGTGCGGAGGAGACCCAGAGGTGAGTGCCACATATCTTGGATCAGATTCAGGCCCATTATATTATGCCTAGCTTTGGTGGAGAGCTGTGCCGCCATTGGACGTTCCTCTGGTCTCTGTCGAATGCAGAGTGAAGAGCTCGGGCACACTTGCTGATCTAATCGGGTGTTGTGATTGCTGCATTCATGAGGAAGAAGTTTTGTTTTGAATAAACCAGCCTGCAATAGTTTGGCTCTGACTTAGTCTGGTAATTGCCGTTTAGCTGTAAGATCAATATTTGGATCCCGTGATAGATTACTCATACCGTTTTCAAACCATGGCGGCAGTTGTTCAAACAGAGAATAATCATTTTAATTTGCAATTTGTCATGAACTCCTGGAAGATGAAGAGGTCAGCAGAAAAGCACATTTCCTTGCAGACAAGAATCAAGACCAAACAAGGGTTCTCTGAGTGCTTTATAATGGAATCAATGCCATACTGCTTGGGCAGCAACTCTGTGGGCAGAAGCACCAGCCGTTCTGCAATGAGCAATAGCTCGTACATAGTCCCGGAGCATAGAACCTGCTTCCGATAGAGAGGATGTGAAAGCTGAGAGGCTCAGGTTAAATGTGATCGTTCAGGGCCACCAGAGATGGGTAGAAGGGATCGTAGTTTTAACTTCTAATAGAAAGCTTATACACCTTGAATTTACCGCCCCTTTCATTCTGCAGTGTAGGGCTATAGTCAGCCTTTGGAAGGAGAAGTCCTTGTGTGGCCGTGGAACATTTTGAATGACCTTCTGGCCCAAAGACAAGAATGCTACAGTGTCAACAAAAGTTTATGTTGTGTATTCAGTGATTCCAAAACCAGATTGAATCCTGGGGCTCTGCCCTAGATATGTGGTTGCATGAACTGTATTTAGATTTTTTATAGGTGTTATTAAAGATTCTAAAGAAATATAAGTCCAGAGGTTGGCTGACTCCTTCGTTGTTATAATCGATGGGGAAAATCTCTCTGTATCCATACAAGCTGAGGGCCTGTCCTGTGTCAGGGATTATGAGTAAGCCATGTGCCAGAACAGCTGTAATTATTTTGCATTGCAAATTCTAGGTCTATGTTTCAGATGTTTTTGTTTTGCCTTTTCCCATCTTCCACTGCTATTCTTAGCTCAGAGTGACTAAGGCTTTGGCTACACTGGACTTTCGTCGGTAAAACTTTTGTCGTTCAGGGGTGTGAAACAACACCCTCCCCTCCCCCCACTGCCAAACATCAAAAGTTTTACCGACGAAAAGCGCCGGTTTGAACAACGCTTTGTCGACAGGATTGCTCTCTGCCGACAAAGCTACGGCCGCCCATTGGGGGGGTGGAAGTTTTTTGTTGGCGGGAGAGCTCTCTCCCGCCGACAAACAGCAGCTACACTGCGCACCTTTTAGTGGCACGGCTGTAGCAGCTCAGCTGTGTTGCTAAAAGGTGCGTCGTGTAGACATAGCCGAGAAAGTAAAATTCTGAGTGATACTGCAGAAATAAGGAATTTATTATTATTTCTTTGTTTTTATTACACAAGTGCTTAGAGGCATGCGTGGCATCAGAGCCCCATTATGCTAGATGCTGTCTAGACACAGAGTAAGAAATGGACCCTGCCTCAAAGAACTTATAAGCTAAATAAATGTGACAGATAAAGGGTGGGAGATAGGAGGTGAAATACACCGGACCCTCGCTAGAACGCGCGTCTGTATAGCGTGAATTTGCATATAACGCGGTCGCGGCCATGGATCCCAAATTTACTTTAATTGCAATTCATTTTAACGGGGTCCCTGTGTTAACGTGGTACCGTGAATGGATCCCAACTCCCGCGTTCTAGTGAGGGTCCGGTGTAATTAATAGGAAATTCCACTTGCTGCCATCTGTGGCTTTTGCTGAGGCGTCTCCTGCACATGTGAGTTAGGCAAAATTAAACTTTCTCCCCCATAAGAAATCTGCATGGCCTATTGGTCTTGTCAGATGGCCTCGCTTTGACGGATTTGGAAAACCAATGCCATTTTTCACATTTGCTGATCAGCTGGTGTATGGCACCTCTGAATGGATTCTGTAGGAGGCAAAAAGGGTTTTTTAAAAGAACAATCAGTTGGCTAGTTAACATTTAGTTAACATTTAGCCCTACGATGGCGGTGGGATCCAGAGAAAATAGTGTTCTTCCTGGTGATTTCCAAGGCTGTTGATGTAATTGATTATGCTAATGAACAAATAAGGACATTACCAAAATCAGGCAAGCTCCCCTCCCCTCCATTAGGAGTATGGGTGGGAGAAATGGGAACAAAGTTTGCCGGATGCAACTGGACAAATATTGTGCATTAAGTTACACCTCCACCATCCTCTTGACTTTAATGGGCGTAAATGAATCCAGATGCGTCCAAAATTGGTAGGGAAAGAAATGTTGAGCCTTTGAGAAGAAACTACACCTCTACCCCGATATAACGCTGTCCTCGGGAGCCAAAAAATCTTACTGCGTTATAGGTGAAACCGCGTTATATCGAACTTGCTTTGATCCACCGGAGTGAGCAGCCCCGCCCCCCCGGAGCACTGCTTTACCGCATTATATCCGAATTTGTGTTATATCGGGTCGCGTTATATCGGAGTAGAGGTGTATATGCAAAGGAGTACTAAAATCAGTACACCAATATTTGAACCGTGTCCCTTTGAGGAAACCACACTGTATGGATTGCTATTATTGTTTTTGTGAAATCCATCATAGCCAATTTCAATATATTCACATTCAGATCTACTATACTATGGACACAGAAAATTCCTGTTACCAATAACTATTCTACATCCACATTCAGGGCCTGATCCAAAGCCCGAAGAAGACAATAGAAAGACTCATCGATGTCAGTGGGTTGTAGGTCAGGATTGAAAAGGGCAAGAGAGCTCTTTTTTGGCAGATGAAAAACAAAAGCATGCATTGAGTGATGCTGTTCTCACTCATCTAGGGTGACCAGACAGCAAGTGTGAAAAATCAGGACGGGGTGGGGGGTAGTAGGAGCCTATAGAAGAAAAAGACCCATAAATCGGGACTGTCCCTATAAAATCGGGACATCTGGTCACCCTACACTCATTCCAGTATATACCATTGATTTGGAGTTATTCCTGATTTACACCACAGTAAGTGAGAGCAGAACTGCAGAAGAATAAACATTTGATGAGAAGGGACATAAATATGAAGACTAAATTCCAGCTCTTAAAAACTTACATTTGGTCTATGTTAAATTACAGCTGTGAAATATGGACATTCAAACAGTTGATAATAAAGAAACTACAATCCTTCACATTATGGTTATGGAATTCTGAAACTATCACAGATAGACTGTAACCAATGAAAAAGTATTTGGAGATGACTGGAACTCCACAAATGCTAGTTAGAGATCTTATTAAAAGGAAGATTTGATTTGCAGAGCATATTTTAAGAGGTTCAAGTGGCAGTGCATGTTTATGGGCACTGGAAGGGAAAGTTGATGGCAGAACATGAGGCAGAAAAAGAAGATTTTGGGTGGTGAGATGATATCCTGGGTGGATTAAAAGGACTGCTCATCCACAAAGAGGTTAGAAGAGGACCATACAGAACGGACTACCATTGTTGCAAACCTCCAGTAATGGAGATGGCACAGAAGAAGAAGAAGTTGACATGAGGGCACATTATTTTTAAAGTCTTTTAATATAATTCACAATCAGTCAAACATGTTTCAGATCATTACAGTTGTTGTTATGGGAGGCGGCGTCATCTGCTTGACAGAGAAGGAAACTGGAAACCAAGAGAGCTGGGTTCTGTTGCAGGTGCTGTCACTGATGCATTGCTTGACATTGAGTAAGACACTTAACCATGGTGTGCCTCAGTTTTACCAGCTGTACAATGGGGCTAATACCCAAAGTGCTTTGAGATCCCCAACTGACAGGTGCAGTGGAAGCACATAGCATTAGCACAGTCTCACTAAGGAAGGGGAAATAAGACACCTGAAAGGAATGCAGTGAGATGATGAGGTGCAAGGGCCCAATTATTCCTCATTGACACCTTGATTGTCAATTACTGGCCTAACAGGTTGAACTAGTAATTTCACCCACTTCCACTGATTAGAATAAATCCCCACTGTTGCTTCCTGAAGTAAGGAGGAGTTTGTCACCCAGGTGAAATACATGCATAAGCCTTCCCTGAGTCAGTCTCACTGAGCCTAAGAAGCAATGACTCATGCTAACAGTCTCTGACACATTCCCCTCATTATCAGCCTGCTGGATGCCATTTGGTCTTTGCTTTAGGCAAAGGGGCCAGTTACCTATGCGCTGCTCTGTGAAGTGGTAAGGAATGTGCTCGGGGCTGGCAAGCTTCCATCAGTGCTGATAAGAGCAATCCTTGAATTTGTCCTTCAGTATGTGCTCTGTGTGGTTCTGGGAACAACCAAGGTGACAGTAGAGAGTGACGTATGCCGGAATTAAAGGGTGGGTGCTTTGCTAGAAAGAGTAAAGAACCCGAGTCTGTCAGCCCCAACTCTTTTTGAGGGAGAGAGTATCAGAGGAAGTGGTTTCCCAACCCACAGTGCATATCTGGGACTAAGATAAGGCCTCCCAAACTCATGTCACCCAAGGCCTTCAAACGCTACATAAACCCAGGTGTCTTGAGCTTTTCTAGCCTGAGCCAGTACAAGGTTTCTAAGGTAAATATAGGGGGACTTGCTTCTGTTTCCCTAATATAAATCTTCCCTTTCCCTTTTTAGCCTAATCCAGGAAATTTCCATTAGGGTTAGTTACTGAAGATTTGTTACTGGACATTTTTGAAGCAGGAACATGGACTCTCCCTCAGCCTGGGCTACAAAGAAATAGTTTTGCAGTGCTCTGTGCCTTTGACATGAGGAAGCTCTGGGTGTAGGGAGATGCAAGGCCTCAATTTGCACATACAAGTGTGTGGTAGTGATGGCACTGAGAGGCATGAATCCCCTGAAGACATTCCTAGCTTCATTCAAGGGCTGTAACTGGTGCACTACAGCTGTTACCTTAGGAAATTTTGAACAGAGCAGAAATTAGCATCGGTACCTATTGGAAGGCATACAGGCCACATTTGTCCCATCATTCTTAGTTGACGACAGCTTCACATGACCAAGAAGATCAGTCACATAAGGTCGATCACAACCACACTGTGCTCATCACTGGAAATTGACCCTAAGCCTCAGCCGGCTCTTTTCCTCCAGGTGTTTGCTCCACATCCGGATGCCCTGTCTGATCAGATGGTTGTGCCATGAGCAAAACAGGGATGGGCCCTTGAGCCAGATGAATGTACTTGCCTGGAGAATCTTATACAATAACTGTCTATCATGATGATGCTGAGCAGTGCAGGTGAGAGGAACCTTCTGTCTGACAAGCACGTAGTGCATGCTGGGACCTTTAATCACTCGGTTGCACCGCTAAATTATAAAGAAGGGTCGATGCCATCTGCTTCATTGGTGGGCCCTTGGGCTTCTAGCAAGCTGCCAACTTAGCCCCTCTTCGTGCAGTTTAGGTGCCTTGGGCAGAAAACAAATATCTTTGGAATGAGCAGCAAGCTTCCTGTTGTAACTTGCTTTGGCCATGACCTAGTAGCTCTGGCAGCATTCCCTGCTTTGTAGATGGTGGAGTAATCCACACCAGCAGCTCTGTTTCATGCAATAAATTGCAAATAAATATTCAGAAGGGGAGACTTCCTCCAACCATGTTCTTGAGCTGTTGTCATGAGGTGGGGTTTTGTACCCACCATTTTGAGAATATTGAGTATTTGGTCTTCTGTTCCTGCTCATCAGCCAAGTAGCCAGACAGTGTGTCCATTTGCATTAGAATTGGGATTTCTTTGAGGAGAAGCAGAAGATCCAAATATCCTACTCCCGTCACCTACTCCAGGACAGGCCCAACAAAGAAAGTAACAGAACGCCACTGGCCGTCACC